TCTAGCGTCGATGTATTTAGCCGTGCTGCTTTACCTTAGCATATTTCTTAGAGACGCCCCTTGTCGCTACGCCGATCCCGCCCTTTTGTGGGCAAATGGGATGTAGTGATATGCAATCCGGGAACCAAATTCTGGATCGTGCGTTATTCAAAGACTTTCCTACCTTCCGGGGTCGGTTAAGTGGTACCACGATGTCTGGGAGGATAAAAGCATTCAATTTTCCATTGAATACCCCCCCCCCCCTCAATTCGTGGTATCGGTCGGATCGCAGTAATTACAAATGCCACTGTTGTGGAGAAAGTAGAACTGACTGCTTTATTGGGCAGGCAACGAATACAATGAATCAACCTCACTTGAGGAATGTTTATATAGGCTTCGACAGCCGCTCTGGTAAACAAAAACATTAGGAAGTGATATTGACTATCTGAGCGGTAAGCCCTATAACAGCCACCAAAATCCCAAAAGAGAGCAGCATGCGTGGCACACTTCAAAAATGACTGGTCATGTCGACTGCTTGATTTTTTATGGAGACGTGAGACCACCCCTGAATTGAAGAAAGCCAATCAATGCTTTGAGTTGACAGGATGGTGAATTTCGTGTTCGTGGAATTAATGTGCACTCAGCACGTAGCCAACATCGGGAATCCAAGACATGAGAGCAGGATACTGGATAGGGGAGGAGATCGGTACTGATTGGCAGATTAGAAGATTTGGCTGGAAATATCGAGTAGATTTTGATTTTACTGGTGACTATGAGAATAAGGACTGAGAGATCCGGATATCGGTAAATCAGCAGAAAAGACCAGATAAAGATTGATAATCTTTGGAAGACCTTTTACCTACCGACTAAACCTCCCAGCGAAATTAATCAATACCTAATATCTAATATTTGCAACCGACACTCTTTAAAGGCAAGATTCAGCTTAAACTGATGAGGTAATTCTACTCAAATGTGATGTAGGGGCGGGAGGTGGACCGCCAGTGGAGAAAAAAGGAAAAAAAAATCGTGAAATACACAGGAAATACGAGCCTTGCGGAGAAGTTCAAAAGGCCGGCAGATGAGAGATATAATGTGAGCGCGGAGAGCGGTAGAGAAATCCGAGAAGAGAGCATAGCAGATCAGCATTGCGACGCAGACAAAATATCGAGCGGTGGGCGGAGCGTGTCGCAACAGGTGGAGCGTGTCAAAGTCCTTGGCCCCTAGCGCCTTAGTGACGCATTTCGATGCGGGAACTTGGCGAGTCGCCTGCAGTTGCGTCCCATGCACTTCTAGCCACTTAAGGGCTTATTAGGTGGGTCTGAGCCCGAACTTTGCCTTTAATCTCTTAAGCTCCCTAATCGAGCAGTATGAACGTGGTCATAGGGGTGCCCGTGCGGACCAGAGAAACGGAATGCGAACATAATGGCCGCAATGAGATGTAAGTGACAAGACGATATAGGCTATTTTTAAGATTCATTAGTATCGAATCAAGTAGTCAGTAACAAAAAAAAACACTGCATTATGTACAAATACATAAATTGATGCTTACACTGCACATGAACTCTGAAGAACAAAACTTTTCCAACAGATATAACAATATAAATATGCACCCGAATTATATCAATTTTGAACGAAGTGCTCAATTTAAAAAAATGATCTGGTGTGCAAAAATGCAAGAAAATTTGAATTCAAAATTCCAGACTAAAGTAGCCATAATGAAACCAACTCTTTCAGGAGATACGGTATTTAAACAAAGATACATCAGCAACCTAGAAAATCATATCATGAAACTGGCCCGTTTGAGTAACCTGCGGTCGATGTGGCATGCGTTGACCAGCACCGACCGCTCTGCCGCGGTTAGCATGTGCTCCTCCGCCAGCTGTATACTCGAATTGTGAAGTCTGAAAGACTCACAGAAGCTTGAAAGGGGAAAAAATACAATCGTATGTGAAGCAAAACATACTTTGACAGTGTCCATCAGATCTTTGAAATCGTCCCTAGAATAAGGCGCTGTGTAAAAGAACATATGGTCAAGAGCTTTTTCTGCCTCCAATCTTTTGCTGGGATCCAATGTCAGCAATTCATCAATCAAGCACACGGCGAGTTCATCCTGAATGCGGTACTATTTATAAAGCAATTCCAAACATAAAAGATTTCCTAACTTTAACATAAAGATAACTCTTTCTCAGGAAAAAAATAAAAAACGAAAATGAAGTGAAATGAAATTTAGCCTTAACTATTCCCTTATACAACGACATTATAATGTATGATATATAACTACTTTTAATTGAACTACTTTATTTTTTGCACTTTAAGATTTTTTCAATACTACCTTGATTAGAAGGTTAATTCCGGAAATCTATTATGTTTTGACCCTCTCCCTGATTTCAAGTTTGATCTCATCGTGTTCGAGCGTTTCATATTATTCACAAAGCGCGTCCTTCGATCACGCCCAGGGAAGTTAACATCGAAGATATGAGTTCTAGCTCCCCCATTTGTGATCCAACTGCTGTTGACAATGGAGAACTCCCCCTTCAAATAGTGTCCGATAATACAATCATCATTTCAAAGGAAATGATGGCGTTCACGTGGGCAACATCCCCCAAAACGACTGCTTCCGATGCGCAATCTACCAACAGTGGGCTGTAAATCGGTCTCTCCCTTCTGAGAATGATTTTCAAAATAACCCAAAGGTAGACCACCGACCTCTTTGTCAGGAAAAGGAAAATAAACAGAAAAGGAGAAAACAATAGACAAACGCAAGTCGTACCTTGATATACACTTTCATTCGTTGAGAAAGTATTC